GTTGCCTGGATCAGAGAATTCCTCACGGACCGGCAGTTCGTCGTACGATTAGGCTCCACCTTCTCCTCTCCCAGGCATGTTACTAGTGGTGTTCCTCAGGGCGGAGTTCTTTCGCCCATTCTGTTCAACATTTACACCTACGATTTGCTTGCGATAATAAGCTCTGCCGGCGTTAACTGTTGCGGCTTTGCTGATGATTTCAAAATTTATAACAGTGTGGCCTCCTTGGAGGATAAGGAATCCATTCAATCTGCGGTCGACCTTGCTTTAAGTTGGGCTGCTGAGTGGAGCCTCCCACTATCCAAAGAGAAAACGAAGATTCTGCATATTGGTCACAGAAACCCTGAGTACTCGTACTATATCGATGGACTACTAATTGCATCGGTTCCTCAGGTCAAGGATCTTGGCTTTGTGATAACTACCAATCTGTCCTTTGATAGTCACTGTGAGCTTATAGTCAATCGTGGTTTGAGTGCTACTTACCGATTGTTCAAAGCCCTTACAACTAGTGACTGCTCTACTCTCCTTTTTGCGTATAAAACCTATGTCAGGCCTCTGCTCGAATACGGTACAGTGGTGTTTAGTCCGCACAAGCGGAAGTATATTGACTTGATTGAGAAAGTGCAAAACAGCTTCACAAGAAAACTTATGATCAGAGTAGTGGGCTTTAGTTACAGGGACATCCCCAACCATGTCGAAAGAAACACCAACCTTGGCCTCCGATCACTTTGTTGGAGGAGAAAGAAGCTTGACTTGGTAATGTTCCACAAAATAATCCACGGCCGTACTGGTCTTACTCCTGGATCGTTCTACACTGTGAGATCCTCAGTTACCAGGGGTGGTGCAATCAAATTAGTTAGGCCAGCAGCTAGATTCAATGTTCGCGTTCACTTTTTTGCTGTGCGTGCAAGCGTATTATACTCAACACTGAGCAAAAAGATATCTATTCCCACCAACAGTCACACCTTTAGCAAGCTTATCGATTGCTACCTGGATAAATGATGATGATGGCTTCTCTTACACCTTCTCTTTAACGGCTCTTCCCTGTTTTATTTTAATAATATTTACACATTTTAGAAACTTTTTTGTGGTATTATTGTTTTTTCCCCGTGCGGGACTTTCTCGGATGTTCTGTTTCATTGTTTGCGGGACTTTCTTGGATGTTCTGTTTCATTGTTTGTTGGCTGATGTGTATACACATGAGTTCGCTCATGTAATAAATGGTAATGGTAATGGAGTTGGCATCGCGCCAAACGCGGCCGCACTGGCACGCCCAACCGTCTGCAGCGAACTACACTATACGTCCACATTTTTCTTTTGATCAAAAGCTTTGGACCAGTCATTCATACAACTAAGTAGAGAGGTTTCAACAGATCTACCGCTGCAAAAGCCATGATGAGATGCAGTTAGAATGTGGTTCTTCATGTGCTCATGCAAATACTTTTTGATAATTTTTTAAAAACTCTGGCAAAGATTGAGGTCAGGCTAATTGGCCTGTAGTTGGCAGGACATGAAAGAGGTTCCTTTTTGGGTAGAGGTATGATTATGGAATGTTTCCATTTACTGGGTACCTCGCTCCTCATAAGGCTCAGGTTGGAGAGAAACCAGTGGACGACAGATTTCATAAATGCAATTTTTAACAACGGCGAAAGGGATATTCTCGCAGTTAACAGCAGACGCACATTCACTACATTGTTGATTGATAGCGATTCTGTACAAATGAACTCGATCCAGAAAGGTTCGAAATAGTTGTGAGCTCTTGGAACACCGTGTGGTATGAGATACTACTGATACATCCGAAATGACTGTATAAAATAAAATACTGCGGTAATATTCACGGTTATGCCTAGCTAAATATTGATTATCAGGAATTTTTGAGGATCTTTATCGGCATTTTACCGAGAAACTCATCCGGACACCACTATTGGAGCAGTATCGACGTCTTCAGCAGTAAATGTCTTCGTTGATTACTACGGTAGGTCAATGGCACTATATCACACTCAGCAACTTAGTTGAATCCTGTCCAGGATACTTGTTGAACACTGAGGCCAATTATCGAGCGCAAGATCCGAAATGCTCCGCAAACATGGCCACTGCTTTCACTAACATGCAACGCATATTCTACAATGGAACAGCTGGAAGAGCATCATTGAAAAAGAAATTCAAGTGAGTTTTATCCTTCTTTGAGCCGCTTTCAGCGCGCTCAATAATTCGAGTGGCTATAGTTCGAGCACACAGTAATAAGCATACAACATTCAGCCTCTGCGAAGATTTCGATGAGACCAATCTTTCCAAGGCAAAGCAGTTTTTCTTCGCGAACGTTATCAGCTATTTCCAAGGGATAAATCAGTATTCCGGTGACAACAGGGTTAGTGCGTTCGCGCACAGGCAACCAACAGTGGACATGGTGGTCTTTCATCTTACTTTTTAGGATACTGCTACTCGCAATGGGCTAGGCATACCACAGGCTTGTGTGATTATGACGAATGCGTCAATAGGAGACGAAATGGACCGAGTGAAGAATGTTGTAAGTGTGGCTTTTTTCTCGACTCATTTCATGGTAATTCATCCATTACAATATTGCCGTGAATTATTTGCGAGTAGTCTGTTCAATATTACTGGGGATACAGGATCTTCATGCTCAAGAAAGGAAGAGAAGTCTCCAGTTGTGGGCCAGGAGGCCTGAGCTACGGCGGCTCGTAAATGGTCCGATGCGTGGCATTCATAGCTGGTTGAGGGGGAGGCGGTCTTGAGTGGTGGTTCCATTGCCACTGTAGCGAATACGTCGCGATTCAACCCCCCCCCCCCCCCCCTCTCGCCTCGCCCCCCCAGAATTTCTGGGCAGCACTTTTTCTCACCGTCAGCATCACCCAGCTCTTGCCTCTTCTGACGCACCTCGTGCGGTGCTCTACTTGGTTTACTATGGCGCTTCAGCTCCGAACTAATGAGGTTTTGGGAGCGCTGTTTATCGTCGGAGGGGGGGCATTTTGTACTACCATTGCTTCCCTAGTTCCGGTTTACAAATCTCACTCCTGGTAAAACTTGTGAACCCTTGTGAAGCTGGTGCAAGATCGTCTAGCCACCATCCTAAAACGTGTCAACTCGAGAAAAGGCTACCTAGATGGGTCGGCACATCTATGGAAAGCAGAATGCCCCCGCGTCGACAAACTGCGCCAGGTTTGGTGCTAATACCGCGCGCGACTCTCACTCGACTCCACTCCGTGAATATCTTATCTCTTCCGATGAAAGGTTTTTTGCGGGGGAATTTCAAAGATGAATTGCTAGTCTTTGCTGACGAGTCCCTTTTATAAATTAATTCCTGCAGCTGCAATCAGAACACCTTTTTCCATTTCAGTTAGACTGGTACAGTGAACTGACCGGTCAAGATGTAACATTGCCAACGTTCTGCTATCCAAATAATTACACGGACTACATCAAAAAGTATAGCGATACCTCATACACCGATATTGATGATGTCGGTGAGTCAAAATTTTCGAGCTTGATACCTACAACAACCTTTTAGTCGATACAACGTCAATTGGGGGTCGGTTTCCAAAACCAAAACGTTGTCGAGTCGGGCGTTGTCCGATATCCAAAGAATAAGGTTTAAAACAGTAACCAGTACGGAAGAGGAATGATACATGGGCTAATCTTTAGCAGCCGTTTTCTTTATGTTTTTGTAATTATAATTGTTGACAATGTTGTTGTTGTAACTATTAGGTTGTCCGGAAAGTTCTGCATGTTTTGTGTTACTATTTTTTGAACATTCATTGCTAATCACCCTCCCTTGCGTCTCAGTAGTACATCCTGAAGAGAACTTTGCGCTATCTGATGGTATAATTGCCGTTTCACCATTGCTTGATGAACCCCCTTTTTTCAAGATTTTTTCAAGCATGTGAAAAGAGCACTTCGGACGATTTTTTCTTCGAGCAATCCGCAATCGAAACAGCTCAACAAATTAACCAGGTGTGGGGGCCCAATAGTGCTAGAGAAAGCACTGTGCGGCAATGGCTCAACAAATTTCGTTCTGGAGATTTCAGCCTTGAAGATGAACCTCATAGCGGTCGACCTAAAGCAATATCTGACGAGGATTTTGAGGGGATTTTGGAGGCTGACCCATCCCAAACAGTTCGAGAGATTGCAGAAAAGCTAGGCGTTGGCAAATCCACTGTTGCAGATGGTCTGAAACGCATTGGGAAGGTGAAAAAACTCGACAATTGGGTGCCCCACAATCGGAGTGACCGGCAGGAATCGGCACGTCTCGAGGTTCCTTCTTCACTGCTTTTGCGCAACAGAAACGACCCGTTTTTGAACCGAATTGTCACCTGTGATGAAAAATGGATCATGTATGATAACAGGAGACGTTCCGGACAGTGGTTGGATTTCGACGAACCACCGAGGTAATTTTCAAAGCCGAACCCTCACGAAAAAAAGATTCTGGTCACGGTTTGGTGGTCATCGGCTGGTGTGATCCACTATAACTTTTTATCACCAGGCCAAACCATCACAGCAGAACCCTACTGTGAAGAATCGACGAAATGTACCGAAAATTTTGTCAGCTGCAGCCAACACTTATCAAAAGAAAGGGTCCGATTCTTTTGCATGACAACGCCCGCCCACACGTTTCACAAATCACTATCCATAAATTGAACGAATTGGGGGTTGAAGTTCTACCTCAACCGCCATATTCTTCAGACCTTTCGCCAATCGACTATCACCTTTTCAAACATTTTCAGAACTCCCTTGCTGGAAAATACTTCATCAATCAGGACCAGGCAAAAAAGCCTTCGTGGATTTCGTGAATCTCGACCACCCAGTTTTTTCTTTGATGGGATTTCTCGACTGCTGTCACATTGGCAAAAGTGTGCTGATTCGAATGGTGCTTATTTGGATTAAATCCGATGAGTGTTAAGAAAGTTATGATCGTTTAAAGTGAAACACTCGAAAACGTGCAGAACTTTCCGGACAACCTAATATTTCTGAATAATTGTTAATGCAAAGTCTGATGGCTACTGTCCACGTACAGATTTTCCATGCTTGACATACAACAGTATGCTCCTAGTAATGACCTTAATCATACCTTAGCGTGGAGTATCAATCGATTTCTAACAGAGGTCGCATTTCCAGTTGCGATGCGCAGCTGGATATGGCAAACATGTACTGAACTCGGCTACTTCCAAACGACAGACTATGGAAATAGCGCAATCTTTGGCAGCACAATACCTGTGGAGTAAGTTCCTAAATATGCATTATCCTGCACTGTGGTCAGGGCGGGCAGAAATGTCTAGTGTTTCAGTCAGCTAGTGTTCGGGTCTCTCGAGGTTTTTAGTGGAAGCTGTCATCTCCCAATCTGATACGTGGATGCGATAGTATTCTTCAAGAGCCCAGAGTTCCAGGCTAAAAATGAACACCAGCCCAGCCAAGCGCCCAATCCACCCTGGCAAATCCGATGACATGACAACTCAGCATGGAATTCCACAAAATACATAATATGCACGCACCACAGTTCTACTGTAAAAGCAAAACAATTCCTTGCTCCATACTGTAACCAGAAGCGAATTAGACTTACCAAAGCGTCTGCTTATCATGCCATAAGCCGGCATTTACATAGCACATACTTTTCCGCTCACAGCATGCTATCCAAGGTATAAACAGAGTATTTAATCGGGAATCGAAGAGGAAGAGGTTTCTAGGCACACAACCAAGTCCAAATATAACTGCTCATCCCCAGTAATGAAATACAACCTCCTTGAGAGGATTCTCTCGATGATTCTGTACCGAGGATTGGAGACCACCAGTAGTTGATGAACTCTCGCTTGGGAAAACCTATGACGCCAATCTGTCACACTTTACTTCAAATTGTTCTCGCCTAAATGCTGCTGTAAGTTCACAGCGCTTCATGGTGACTAACTGTCTTGTAAAGACATACTGTTAACTTCCCTGCGTGGATCCTGGTCCTTGCCATGTGTGAGGTGAGTGGGTCCGCAGCTGCAATACGGTGCCACTTTCGCCTCTCAAAGATGAACACGAACGGGCTGGAGGATAGTGACACATGAGAGCCGTTTCACTGCGCCGGCACTGGCACACGGTCAACAACATGCTTAAAGGCACAGTTCGCGACCGCAAATTGGAAACGGAACTCAAATAGGCACAAAAAAGTGCTAAGTATCTGATTAGCGGAGAAAAGCAGCAGAAAAAGCAGTCCGAAATGTTATAGAGAAAGATAACATAGTGGCTACTAGCTAGTAGCTAGCAGCCGGTGAGGGTCGGCATGGGCCTAAGGGGTGTCCATGGGCCTAATTAGCAGCTTCTAGCGGAGTTCTTGCCGTTTTTCACATTTTGAAAGTAGCGCAGCCTCAAAAATCGCCTTCCGGATCGTCCGACACATTTGAGAGGTCATAGCCTTATTTTATCGCGGAATGTGCCTTTAATCATATACACCTAATCCTTGAGACAGAGTAGGCGTGGTAGTTGAGCATGGATTAGAACGGGTCGCTCGTGAGAGATTTCACTTTGAGACGACTGTCATCCTGTTCAGTGTTAAACGACGACCACAATTGTCCCAATGTGAAGAATCTCCTGGTTACCGTCTGTGTTGTGGAACGACAGTGGCTTTAACTACGGCTTACGCGCTAAACGCGCTACTTGTAGTGATTCTGTACCGCTGAGTGCGTGATTAGCTAAGCGACCGCGGTATCAACGCAAGTGCTGCACTTTGAGGAGAGCACCGTTGGGAGTGCAGAGACGGTACCATGCTACCACTACCTTATAGCACGGTTCCCATGTACATTGAGCGAAGAAAGTGACATGCTACTGCAGCATTAGACAAATTCACTTCGCAGCTGGGAAGGACCGTGCTCGGTTTCAGTGTACCGAGTCGTCTTCTTTCTCCGATGTATGTGGATCCACACCCTCGATATTCTAAGTGGTAGATAACTCCCACTGGAGCAGTCACCGATTCTTTGTATGAACAAATGTGACAGTAACAATGTTTCAGTTTCTTCTCTGATCAGTGCATGGAGCTCTTTGGTTCGGAATACACGCTTAGTGAGACGTATAGACGAGTTGACGAAGTCAGCAAGAAATACGGCGGAGCAACTGCTTACAGGGTAAGGAAGAGTACTGCTAAACGCTGTGACATAGTCAGAGTCAATTAACACTTCTCTCATGACGTTAAGATAAAGAAGAGGTGCTCTGCCCATTCTCCATGATGACCAACGATTTATTGAGGTAGAGGCGACTTACCTAGCCTTCATGTGCCTTATGAAATGAAACACAGCGTGCACTAGTACCCGTGCTTTTGCACTAGAAAGTTTACCAGTGAAGATATAGATATGAGCGCCATCAGCGGAAATCCCCTGGTTCCGAGGAGCACTCCCAACCGTACTCATCATTAGTGCCACTTCGTTGACCATGTCCGATAATCTAAAAAGTGAAGTCTGAGTGCATTCGTTACAAGTTCTGGAGACCACTCAATCACAGTGTTGTGTTGGTGAGCTGTGGAAGGGAGGGCCGTTCTTGGCCTTCGTCGTATGAACCCGAAATCGCAGCCTGCCTCGGGACTCAGTAGTGATAGTAGTCGCAGTAGGACTTGTTTTGTTAGCGGTTGACCAGCTCATCACGCAAAAGACAAATTGTACACTCATGTCATTGGATCCTTTTTCTTGCTGTTCAATTCGATTGAGTCAGCAGCTACGGTGGCGTGCCGCTTTTTCCGCATGAAAGGGTAAGGAAACAGGGCTGCAGTGCAGTGATAACCGGGTGCCGTCTATTCATTCTTGTCGCACTATCCCGAAGCGTCGAGAACTACCTCCCACAGATATGCGCCGTCAGAAGTGGAGAGCAGTTAGAAAAGAGAGAGCGCAGACGGATAGCGTATTTGATTGTGGTCAAGCGTGCGGCTGAGCACGCGGCAGCCCAGGCAAAGTCGGAAAATGACATCTGGTTACCACAATTGTCCGGCCTCATTCCCATACACGTTTTAGCGGAGAAGTAGACGCAACTGCAGTTAACACCTCAGGTGGAAAGCACTGTCCTCGAAGGTGATCGTACCGCCTGTTGTCTTCGAACAACTGAGTGTTGCAAGGTAATGGCGAAGAACCCATGACAGGACTAGAAGCTGCGCTTGTCCCTTGTCATTGGGATCCTTGCAATTCATCCACCTTTCCCTCCTTTAATCATGGCAACTGTAGTAAAAAAAACACGAACTTGTGAATCAGGGTAGAAAGAATGAGGCGCGTGGCGTTGACCAATGTTTGTATGCGCCATGCATATTTAATTTCACGAATCGTAATGGCATTTTGATGCGTGCACAGTTGGCCTAACAAGACATACGGTAGCAAACCAAAGTAGAAATCGTTTCATGTTCCCTGGTAGCGCATTATCAACTTGCTCATTGCAAGGGCGGATAGGATGATCGGTGCAAATGTGATTCGACCTCGAACCCTATGCTTCCTGGACTATGGGGGCTGGCGGCTTTCATAATTACTTTATCTCCGACAAACCACGCCTCTCACGCTACAGCAGTTATTTCTTCTTTGATGAAGATATTGCACGCAGAATGACTTCCTGTTGTTTTTCAAGGGCAACAAGGTTGTGTTCCCGAACGGTTCGCTCGACCCATGGAAATCACTTGGCCTCCTTGATGGGAATGATGATAGGAATGTGGACGCCTTCATGATTGAAGGTAAGTAACATTGAAAGACGGCTCAATGAGAGCGCAAGAGCACAATTCAATGCATAACTGCATCGCTTATTGTTAGTGTTAAAAATTTCACAGGTACGGCTCATTGCGCTGACATGTATCCAGCCTCACCAAACGACAAGCAGTCACTGACAGATGCCAGAGCACGGATTCTGAGACAGCCTTAACACATGGATTCAAGAAGCTCTTAAGCCAACAGGTATGAGGCAATGAGAACATCTTCGGTATAATCGCAATCAGTTTGCCAATTGCGGAGTCGCAGGACTGATAGGCAACAGGTTCATCCAGGGAAGTCCGCCAACTTGCCATGGAACTTTGAATGGAGACCTGGGTAGATCGATAGAGTCTATAAGGTTATTTACAAATATAGATAGCAAAACTGCAACCTGCATTTCACAAGCAACTTATGAGCAGTAAAGTTTGTAATGGTGCAGTAGGGTGAAGGCTTGATAGTGGGTGTGAAGCATAAGCGAGGAGTCGTCGACCGACGGCTTACCACTGAACCACCACGACTCGATTCGACGTATGCGATTCCTCGCTTATGCTTCACAGCTCACCACCAAGCCTCCACCCTACTGCACCATTACAAACTTTACCTGCTCATAAGTTGCTTGTGAAATGCAGGTTGCAGTTTTGCTATCTATATTTGTAAATAACCTTATAGACTCTATCGATCTACCCAGGTCTCCATTCAAAGTTCCATGGTAAGTTGGCGGACTTCTCTGGTAAGGAGAGGAACAGTTTCGTAAGAAAGCACGTATCATTCGATTAATACGAGAAAGTGACCACCTACAGGATTACCCTTACACCAACTTATCGTTAATAATATGCTAGGCACTGCCACGCAGAAGCTCTGTACCCAGAGCAATCTCGCAGGTGTGGCCCGGCAAGTCCTAGCCGCGATAGACTCCATGACGGGCTAAACTTCCTCATCTTTATGACACTCATATCCAAACGACCAGGCAGGACAACTCGTCCGCCGAGCGCGTGTGTCGCTCGCCAGGCCACCGGCGTGGCATGCAATCTTTCTCACAGGGGATGAACGGGCGTTTCAGTGCGGATGGTTTGGCGGGGTGCCAGACCCGTTTTCCATCAGTTGTTGAACCGAGCAGGCAGACTATTATACCATTCGCATCAGCCCTTTTCCACATTGTTGTCGTTTACGTGCTTCAGCAATTTGTGGATAGCGGATTTGGCACCGCGCCAAACGCAATCGCACTGACACGCCCATCACCCGTAGCGAAGCAGACTGTATTAGAGCGCTTCAAGTCGTCTACCTACCAAGTACCCGGCTAGTTTACGCGCAATACCTTTTCTACTCTGAACGTTGAAACTCAGCAGCCCTTCAACGGAGGAACTCCACGAGCCACTAGCGACTTTCTGTCCATTTCACCCATCAATCAAAAAGGGGCTAATGCCGTTTGGACTCCAGAAATTTCGGCTTCGAGCTCATTTTAAAAGTGGCAAGATCACCAAATCCGCTAAAAACTTGTATATAGGGGTAATTCAACATGAATATGACATTCATTTTTGGCGCTGGCGCTAATGGATGACACTACGGTTACCTGCGCTCTGCTAAGGCTGAGCCCAGGAGGTAATCGTAGTGTCCTCTCTTGGCGCCAAGAATGAGTGTCATACTCGTAATCAGGATGTTGAATTACCCCTATATACAAGTTTTTAGTGGATTTGGTGGCTTAGGCAATTTGAAAATGAGCTCGGAGCCGAAATTTCTGGAGTCCAAACGGCATTAGCCCCAAAAAGTGACTTAGACTAAACATCATATAAGACTTTTTCAGGTAGCGGCTCGCAACCAGGACTCCTCATCGCATCGGTTATCCTTCTCTACTTCGTCTCCATGTGATGAAACCGCATAAAGCCAGACCGAAAGCTGTAAAATCATGGCAGTTGCCCTAATAATGTGAAAAATTAATGAACATGACTAGTTGTATAAAGCTCAATTTATTACAAGGAATGTAGCATAAAATTTACAAAATCAATCATCACAGCAGCAATATTCTTCAGGAGAAAAATATACATGATTTTACAAGAGTGAGAAGATTGAGGGGAAACATGCAGGTAATAAGAGAAACCCTGCTGGCGAAAGCAATCGAACCGGTACCCAATTGAACATACTCTATACAAAAAATATTTTAAAAAAACGGACCAAGACTAGAAAATGAAGCTACCAGGGAACCTCTACGAACAGGTTACCTAGCGATATTAAAGCGACATAACTTCATTGAAATCAAAGCACTGCGCGAGGGAAATCTGATAATTAGGATGGACAAAAAGCGTCCCAAACATAATCGCGGAGGATCAGTGATTGTACGCACCTTTGCGCAAAAGATCATTTCCAGACATTACGGGCAATATGATGTCGTCCATATTGGGGCATACAAGATTCTTTTCGATAAGTAGGCGGAGTTTTGACTCGATCCAGTCCGATACAGTAGTCATATCAACTGACCGGTCACCAACTTGAGGAACAGCTTTAATAGAAGCGATGGGTGGTCGTCGGAAAGCATACCTAAAACAGCATGTATTTTTGTAAACTTGAGAAGAAGCGGCTCAATTCAATTAGATGCAGCAATGATACGAATTAGCTTGTACAAATCGCAGAGGCTTACGCTTACTTTGTACCAGGACAATGGCAGCGAAAGCGCAAAGCTAGGCAGACAGGGAAGAAGAAATGCTGAGGCACGTCCTAGCATTGAGGAGCATTTTTTTTCCAAAATACGACCCCTCTCAGAAGTCAGTCCACCGGAGCTTAAGCGATAAAACATTCTTTTAGGCTATATACCACCCCCTGCACAGCATGCGAATTTCCTACGTACGACGTGCCCTGCAGAGAGGTGTGCGTCGGAAAGTGCGGCCGTTTTGCTCTACGAGGGCGCGATGGCCGCGACTCCCACCTCCTGAGTGTCTCTGGATGGCATATTCTGCTCCGGACAACTCGTCCGCACCACTCAAATTCTTGACTGTTGTATTCTGGAATTACTTCCTTATGAACTACCAACTTGGAATGTATGCTTTTGAAGACACATGGTACGCTCAAACCATTGAGGGTGTATGAGACTATCAGCCCCCAGCTGTCGATGTGTCGTGGTCCCCCCGCCCAAAACTGCACGGGGTCAGAGTACGGGACCGTGGGAAAGTCGTAATTCCTTGCTACGCCGCCCGTTTTTGCAAACTCACGTTTTTACTAACACCGTCCGCGCGGCGCGGTCGCGTGCAGCTCTCTTGGCTTTTTGCCAAGTCCTGTAATTGCGCTTTGGAATACAAGTACAACGCAATTTCTTTATGCGGATAACATTTTAGGTTCTGCAAAATAAGAACTGAAGATGATGACGAGGGCTAGAACTCAAGAGCAACTGTGCTGCTTCTGCAACAGCCCTCGCAGGCCGCGCATTCCCACAAAACATCAAAATAAAAACGGCCTAAGCGTCCCACTCGTTAGTTTGAAGTATTTCTATAGCATTAGAGCCGGATCGCAGAAATGCACACGCGATTTTAATTTATTGCGTTTCCTTAGTTTTTTCAATTTTGTTTTATTTACATCTACATTCGTTGTTCTTCATTTCTAGCCTTTGTCATCTTCATCACCTTCTATTCGGACTTTGAAGCATGAGCAATACCTCAAATGTTAGGAAATTGCGTTTTGCTTGTATTGTCATGTTTTATTGTCATGTTGTCCGTTTTTATTGTCATGTTCTGAATGCGCGGCCTCTGAGGGATATTGCAGAAGCACCACAGTTGCTCTTGAGTTCTAGCCCTCGTCATCATCTTCGGTTCTTATTTTGCAGCACCTAAAATGTTATCCGCATAAAGAAATTGCGTTGTACTTGTATTCCAAAGCGCAATTACAGGACTTGGCAAAAAGCCAAGAGAGCTGCGACCGCGCCGCGCGGATGGTGTTAGCATAAACGTGAGGGCGGTGTAGCAAGGAATTACGACTTTCCCACGGCCCCGTACTCTGACCCCGTGCAGTTTTGGGCGGGGGGACCACGACACATCGACAGCTGGGGGGCTGATAGTCTCATACACCCTCAATGTGTTTGAGCGTACCATGTGTCTTAAGTTCGTATACCTGTCCACATTGACGAGATTAGGGACTATCTATAACGTTTACTGAGTTTCATACACTTTTGCATTTCGATGAAGAAATATTTTGGGCACACTCAGCAAATCCCCGCTTTGTTAAAATAAGATAAACCAGGATACGCCATGAAATTAAGCACAATGTTAGGTAAGAAATCAAGCAGGTGAACAAAGGGAATGGAAGGAAGGAGATGGTAGAGAATAGCTCAGAAAAACTCACCACAGCCGATCAGATGGAGGTGGTGGGATGTTTATCGTGATTGGACCCTCAAGCATTTCCACTTCAACATTCAGAATGAGAGGAGTGGAAGACACATCCTCGATTAACTGAAAAAAAAATAGTTTTCATTACCAACGATGATCAAGCAGATACATCCAGCACTTACTTTAGCCACTTTCGGGAACTTGGCTGCCTTTTGGAAGAAACTGCTCTGTGCAGCACGTTCTACCAAAGAAATTATCTTCTTCCCTGTTCGCTCCTTCGTACTTGGGCTAAAGAACATGATTTATGCAAAAAGCAAACTGAACTGCTGAATCTACAAAAAAATGATTTTACAAACCCTTCGAGGTTATTTTTGGCGCCAAAATCCTCGTCGGGGCTGCTCTCAGGACTTTCCGGTAGCTCCTCATCTGAGTAATGTGACGTCGGGTATGCCATTGCACTACTTAGACGAGACAGCTTTCGCTCAGTTTCTACCTATAATCAAGCACTTAAGGTTAAAGACACATGGTACGCTCAAACACATTGAGGGTGTATGAGACTATCAGCCCCCCAGCTGTCGATGTGTCGTGGTCCCCCCGCCCAAACATGCCCAGGAATGGAGATACAGGACCGTGAAACACGCTAGTTCCTCCATGCTCCGCCTTACACCTTTTGCGGCGCAGATTCCCGTCCTTCATAACATCCGTTGCAAGCGCGCGTGTCGCGTGCGGCTCCTTGGCACTTTGCCAAGTCCTTTAATTGCGCTCTACGAGTAAAACGCAATTTCCTGATGCGGATAACATGCTACAAAATAAGAACAGAAGATGATGACGAAGGGCCAGAACTCAAGAGCAACTCGGCTGCATCCGCAGAATCCATCAGAGGCCGCGCATTCCCAGAAAACATGAGAATAAAAACAATCCAAGCGTCCCACTCGTTTGTTCTAAGTATTTCTATGGCTTTGGCGCCGGATCGCGCCGGATCGTAGAAATTTACAGGCCATTTTATCTAATTTGCCTTTCCTTGATTTTTTCATTTTTGTTTTATTTACATTTACATTGTGCTTCATTTCTAGCCTGTGTCATCTTCATCTCCTTGTACATGGATTTTGAAGCATGAGCAACACCTAAAATTTTATTCGCATCAGGAAATTGCGTTTTGCTTGTATCAAACTAACGAGTATGCCGTTTTATTTTCATGTTTCGTGGAAATACGCGGCCTCCGAGGGATGTTGCAGAAGTGGCACAGTTGCTTTTAAGTTCTGACCCTCGTCATCATCTTCTGTTCTTATTTTGCAGCACCTCCAATGTTATCCGCATCAGGAAATTGCGTTTTACTTGTATTTGAAGCGCAATTAAAGGACTTGGCAAAGTGCCAAGGAGCCGCACGCGACACGCGCGCTTGCAACGGATGTTATGAAGGACGGGAATCTGCGCCGCAAAAAGGTGTAAGGCGGAGCATGGAGGAATTAGCGTGTTTCACGGTCCTGTATCTCCATTCCTGGGCATGTTTGGGCGGGGGGACCACGACACATCGACAGCTGGGGGGCTGATAGTCTCATACACCCTCAATGTGTGTGAGCGTACTATGTGTCTTTAACGGGAGGAATTAACAAAGCGTGCACTACCTACCACAAACGCCATGGGCAAAATAAAGGACATCCAAAAGGCAAGAAAACGAAGCGAGAGGGTAAAATGCAAAAAAATAGCATAAAATATAGAAAAGCATTATTGTACCTTCGAAGACCCGTGATGGAGTTTTAACAGATTTACACTGGTCTGAAGGACCAGCCGAATACCACCTCCGTACTTCATCTGAAACATTTCAAAATCATTGACTTATTATAGGACTACATGGGCATATGCTTTTATTTGGTTGTATAAAATGTCTCCGCGATTTTTTCGTACGCATTTGTTCAAACATTTTTTCGATTGAAGATCTATTTCAGTAAAGTACATATCGACCGTAACTATCTCTGACCCTTTGCCTTTTATCTCACTTTTATAACTCCCGTGTTGAACTCCTGTGGTTCTTCGCAAAAAACTTGACCAAGCGATTTTTTTCGGCCGGCCTATTTCTTACATCAACGGAGCTTTGGAGAGATCGAAACGAAAAGGCAGATGTGCAAGGTCCGAGCTGCACGGTGGATGCATCAAATTCCCTCAAACCAAGTTCCATCAATTTCTTCCGAGTCATCTAAGACGGTGCAGATCAGAGCGAGGTGCTTGTCCGACATCTAAATTTCCGGAACGGAATGGACTAGCAAACCAGTCCTAGGTCCTTCGTGCACTATCAGTATTTTCGCCATTCACTCCACCACTTTTCTCGCATGTTCTTCTTAATTTTTTTGTCGAAGGTTACTATTCAAGCATATGTTTGCTCAACACAATCGGGTGTGTTCGAATAACGAATCTGAATCGGCTGGTGGCGAAAAACCGCGGAAACGTTCTATACCAGCTCAAAACATCGAAACCGACAAATGAGTACATGAAAAATGGAAAAACTGCTAGCATGCATGAAGCCATGCAAATGTTAACAAACTCACCTCCAAATCAACCCAGATACCCCACTCGTTTAGTTTTGGAGTATAAACGCCAACAATTTTAGGTGCGGTTCTTCCAAGAGTCAACGATGAAAGCTCCAACGTCTCGATGAAATATGGTAGCTAGAAAACGGCAATTTATGAAATTCCCTATCATTAGTGATTAACCAGGTGAACACGACACTTACATGTATCGTAGCCAACTTGCTCTGAATTTTCTGTTTCACTTGATTGGCCCAAAACTCGTCACGACAGAAGTCGAAGAAAATCCTGGAAAAAATGCTGTTTCTGATTTCTTGAATAGCGGAATCTAGACTGAAGATTTCTCAAAATTTGTAATATCATCGTTCACTCAACGATGCTTCTTAGGTCCCAGCCAAATTGTGTGAATGACTAATATGTCAACGAAAACCTCTCTTCAAAGGACCCAGTTTGCAAGCATGGCTTCTCAAGCGGGGCAGTGTAGGAGCGAACTCAGAACATCGGTTGATTGTTTCTGGTCACACAAACAAAACCTGGAGGATCTAAAGGCTAAGACTTTGGCAATAATGTTCAAGAGCTAACTGTTTAACAGCTCGGAGTGTCACCCATGTTCCAAAACTATCACCTAGACATCCCATAACGCAAAAAATAAATAAGTGAATAAAGAATTAATAGGGATACAGTACGCAATGACAACGGCAGCATGCTATTACCTTGTTCCAACTGAATTGATGGATTCCACCAAGTCAGAGTTTTCTTCTGGGCTTGCAGGTTTCCATTTTAGGGTGCCAAGATCAAGGGAAACGGTAGACCCTTGCTCAGGAGGGGCTACTCCGTATCCAAGCATGATAGATATCTGCCTGAAGTTGAAAACTCACATAACAGTAAACCGAAAAGTTACTCGTCAGACATTAAACTTACTCAGCAAATTGTGTATGAATTCTTCTGTAGACTGCATCCTCAAACATGGGACCTGACAGTGATTTGGTAGGTGTTTCATTTACTCCGTTCTGAATGGGTCGTTGTAGTGATGACTTATGAGGGCCGTCCGCACCTTCGCGATGTTCAGCTTCTAGTAAGTAAAGAGAACTCACTACTGTCGCGGGTTCTGCAACACTGAAACTTCTTAATGTGCGAGGTTTTCGGGATCTCTCCGATTGTGCACAAGCTTCGCGAAGTCTAAAAATGATGAAAATTTTACAAAAGAAAAGGCTATGGAAAAAATCGGTACTCACAGATGAAACCATCGTTCCTTCTCTCGAGCAGCCCTTCCGAAAAGATATATCGATTTTTCTTTTCCTGGACGATGAATTGATTCGTTTAGGTAGCCCGGCACATCGCTGAAAGAGGAAGCACGGCCAAAGCTTGAGCGTTCTGCTTCGCCTTCATCGCTCGAATCAGTCTCCGCAGTATAGCCCTCGTCGTGTGCGGAAGATTCACCATTCAGAAACGGCAGGTTATCAGGAACGGTATGCACTGGATGCATCGATACAGATCTGAAAGAATTATAATTAATGGACACACAAGAAAGGAAGATCGACAGACTAATTGAGAGTTTGCTTAGAGAGCTACGTTCGCAGTGAAATATTGGGTCGGCCCATAAAATGACGTTTTTTTTCTCACTCGAAATATCGCCCCAAAGATGAGAACTTTTATACTGTTTTGCAGAGAATTCCTTGCCCTATACCACAGCCCTCTGCTTCTCTTTTAACTTATATGTAAGAGCTTAAACTGGAGTGTCAGGCCGACAAAAGTGAGCATTTTTGACAGCCTCTCTTTTTTACCTCTATTAAAAAGCTAAAACCGCACAGGCCCAGTTGCTAAGTATATGGCCAAGAGGCTATGTCTCTTAGGAATGCTTACAATAGTTTAAGTGATTCGAAGATTTCAATTTCGACCTCACAGACAAGCATCGAACCTATGGATGGATTCTGCAAGCAGTGGCTCCCCTGGAGGGCTCCCATGCGATGCACCTTTACAAGGTCCGAATTCCCAACTCTTGATCGCCTGAACCAACTTTGAGTTGTCGTAAATACCATCTTTCCCTTATCATACATATCCCAAGTTTTGGACTTCTTCTGTAATTCGTGAGCCGAGTTTAAAGTGCAATAAGTTATTGTCGAAAATTCTCTTTTGTGTCGAGACGACACTCCCATTCAATGAAGGGAAAATCAACAGAAGTCAAGGAATGTAAGAAAGCTCTCAAACTCTCTCATGGAGCGGAACTGTTTATTAAACAGTGTTGAACACATTGGGAATAACTGCCATTTTTCCTTATAAAAACTCAAGTGAAAAAAACGCATTACTTATCGACCAACCTAATAGATGCCCATTTAGCACCATATACCGGATATATGGCTCGGTTAACCTGAGCGAGAGCTGACCAGGAATTCTGCCCCCGGAACAACCGCATGGCTGAGGGTAAAGTCGCAGAGGATCTCATCGGATATCACCAGATCTCCAGTGCATATTAACTCCCATATTTGTTCGCTGCGGATGAAGGGACGTACCAAAAGGTTGGGTTTGGCGCGCCATCCTGGTGGCATGTTCCACCAGATGAAGCGAGTATACCACAACAACTGATATATTATGATACGAATGATATGATACAGTCTAGTCGCTTGCCAAAAAAAGAACAAGCGAGTTGGTGGCGGGCCAAGCCCACCCCCACGCCATCCCCCCTTGATACGCGTCACTCGAAGCGACAAGATGTATTTATATCGTAATATAGTATGCACACTTTAATCTGTTCTAATGTTGAGCCTAGTCGAACCCGCTCGGTCGGACAAGTATCTCAAAGGGACACCACACAACGTGCGATTTGCCGCTCAAGAAAACAACGGCCAAAGAACTATGATACTTCAATAAGGCTGGTATCCAAAAGAGAAGAACTGACCGTGAGAGTGGTGTTGCAAGAGTAACAACATCATCAGGTTTCCTGGCAAATTTAATATAAATAGGATATTTTCGGCTCCACCATCGCCTCTGTGCCAAACGTTTCGGTCGAAGTGATACCTGAAAGCCTCACACATAATCAGTAATCATACAGCTGAAAATGTATTAACTGCTGCTAACAAAAGGAAAAGGTGGCAATGAGCTGATTCAATGAGGAGAAGAGAAGCTTGCTCGGTGCTCCCACTGCCCGTGACTGACTTCGCAAGGAACGATCCTATAGAAAGATCAAAAATGACCACAACCAGGCGTGCAAATTATGGCGGAATGCGAGAATGCGTGCTGCATCTCAAAAAGGGTTGAACTTCATTCCTTCCATGGCTAAGTGAAGACTAACTCATCCAAAGTGATCCCTTAAGAGAACGCATTTCAGATGAACAGATAATGTTCCTGTTTCGCGAGTAACCACCCCAGTAAGCTCATAAGCAATGAAAGAAAGCCTATAAAAGCTCCTGCAAGACAAATCAAAGAATTGAAAACGAACGCGAGCTCCTTGAAGGTTGTACATCGTTTGCGAAACCATGGTAGGTTGTGGTTGGGTTAGAGTAGGATCTTCATGAAAAGCATGTTTCAGCACTGCTTTCGCAGGACGTGATATTCGCAATGTGGAGCCCTAAATTCCATATCATCGATGAGAAAATGTCGCACGGCTACTTCAGACACAACAGAAAACAAGCATATGAAACCTCAAGTCGAACAAGCACAGACTGCGCGTTATTGACATGGTATGTTGCGGGTGAGTATTTTCCCTTCAATTCATTCATCCATCCCTGAAATTAATGTGGTAACAAAGCAGCAAAGCAGGTAGGGTTGACACGAAAAGGCAAGATTTACTCGATATACTACGCCGTGGTGTATCCCAAGAGCATCTCCTTCACCTTCTTCAGCCTCTCGCGCTTGTTCAAACTTTCCATTACCAGTAACTATGACATCGAGGTTAGCAAGAGAAGGATGGCGCTCAATCTGAATTAAAGTTGTTAACCATACAGCAGATCAGAATTTTCCTCCGAGCATATAAAAAGGCTGAGTGGCACCCAGTGTCAGATCTGACCGTAGTGCGGCCACTTCACATGATTTGTTGTAAACAGACATTAAAAATGCTCCTCGATAGCTGAGTGAGTGCTCGATGCCGTTCACTGAGGACCCTTCTACTTCAAACTAAATGTGCTGCGCACGGTAAGTTAATACCTGCCCAGAGGTGGACACTCTTATCCTTCGATGGTGGTTGGGCATTAAAAGGACTCTCGTGCGAAGACTGGATTATCGAGACACTGCGAACACAAGGAATCTGAGGCGAAATCCTCACTTCTTTCACGTGCCATCAGCTTGGCACAGAGTTTTTTCATAAATGCCCCTCCCACGGCGTACACGAAAGTGATTCCCGCAGAGGGCAGCAAACGTGATTGTTGAATTGCGGCCGCAGTTCGCGGCGACGGGGAAAGGCATTGTACTATCGTCTGCTTCCTATCCTTAGTTCCGGTTTACAAGCCTCATTCTGGCGAAACCTGTGAACTCTCCTGAAGCTGGAGCATGGTCATCGAGCCATCATGGTAAAACCTGTAAACTCAAGAGGAGGCTGTCGAGATAGGTCGACACATTGATGGGAAGTAGCAAAAGTGAAAAATGCCCCCTTCGCCTAACTGCGCCGATGAAGTCTGTTCCTACACAAGAATGCTGAGTTATGGGCAAAAGTCGGACCACGGGCGGGATTCGAACCCGCATCTTCCGCTTTCCGTGCGAATGCGTTCCCTATTACGCTACCGAGGCCACCTTTGACCACTCAGCTCAATGGCTATTTGTGCCATAACCTTACAGCACTCACACGTTCAACGTGATGAGCCGGTTAGCCGATATCGGCAGTGAACCGCAAGGCTGAAGGCTTTTTACAAGTTTCAAGCTGATATTGTTTGTTAACTGCTGTTTAACGCCGCAGTACGCGATTCGAAAGCTATCACAAGAATGCTGAGTTATGGGCAAAAGTCGGACCACGGGCGGGATTCGAACCCGCATCTTCCGCTTTCCGTGCGAATGCGTTCCCTATTACGCTACCGAGGCCACCTTTGACCACTCAGCTCAATGGCTATTTGTGCCATAACCTTACAGCACTCACACGTTCAACGTGATGAGCCGGTTAGCCGATATCGGCAGTGAACCGCAAGGCTGAAGGCTTTTTACAAGTTTCAAGCTGATATTGTTTGTTAACTGCTGTTTAACGCCGCAGTACGCGATCGAAAGCTATCACAAGAATGCTGAGTTATGGGCAAAAGTCGGACCACGGGCGGGATTCGAACCCGCATCTTCTGCTTTCCGTGCGAATGCGTTCCCTATTACGCTACCGAGGCCACTTTGACCACTCAGCTCAATGGCTATTTGTGCCATAGCCTTACAGCACTCACACGTTCAACGTGATGAGCCGGTTAGCCGATATCGGCAGTGAACCGCAAGGCTGAAGGCTTTTTACAAGTTTCAAGCTGTTATTGTCAGCTTGAAACTTGTAAAAAGCCTTCAGCCTTGCGGTTCACTGCCGATATCGGCTAACCGGCTCATCACGTTGAACGTGTGAGTGCTGTAAGGTATGGCACAAATAGCCATTGAGCTGAGTGGTCAAAGGTGGCCTCGGTAGCGTAATAGGGAACGCATTCGCACGGAAAGCGGAAGATGCGGGTTCGAATCCCGCCCGTGGTCCGACTTTTGCCCATAACTCAGCATTCTTGTGATAGCTTTCGAATCGCGTACTGCGGCGTTAAACAGCAGTTAACAAACAATAACAGCTTGAAACTTGTAAAAAGCCTTCAGCCTTGCGGTTCACTGCCGATATCGGCTAACCGGCTCATCACGTTGAACGTGTGAGTGCTGTAAGGCTATGGCACAAATAGCCATTGAGCTGAGTGGTCAAAAGTGGCCTCGGTAGCGTAATAGGGAACGCATTCGCACGGAAAGCGGAAGATGCGGGTTCGAATCCCGCCCGTGGTCCGACTTTTGCCCATAACTCAGCATTCTTGTGATAGCTTTCGAATCGCGTACTGCGGCGTTAAACAGCAGTTAACAAACAATATCAGCTTGAAATCTGTTCCTACAGTTCTGGAGGATTTATTTCACACGTTGTTAATTCGAGCAAGGACGCATACGGCAGATTCACACGATGTCTTCTGTTCTACCAGCGCCCAGATGACGTCCTGCATGTCAGCTCAGCAATAAGCCTGGATGTATGAGAGAAAGTGCCTTGATTACAGTGCAGTACATTACCGGCAGAGTCCCGAACTGTCATCCGAGCCCTGTATGGAGGTGGGAACGCGAAAGCGTGTTCGTAGCCCCTGTAAAGTGGTGCATGGTTAGTAAATGTTGACTGTTTTCGCTTCTTCTTGCATTGTGTAATGTGACTCCTGGCGTTGCATGTTATGCTCCTTCTTATTTTCCTGGGAATTTGAGGCTGTCTCCGAGTCGTGTGACATAAGCCATCATAACTACCACTCTAGAGGTTGTACCACTGAGTGCTGGTGCCACACAAGCCACCTAGGCCTTTGGTGCCCTTATTTCTTGACTTCGAGCAGCGAATCGAGCACCTTGATTCTTGGGCCACGGTAGTCTACATCAGTCGCAAGCGGAAAGAGTGCGAACAGATACTGGTCATGCCCGACACTATATCACAACTTATCTCCCACCACCAATGTTCCGTACCCTCCTCCCAATTGCTCAAAGCCACTTTCCGCGATAAAATAAGGCTATGACCTCTCAAATGTGTCAGACGATCCGGAAGGCGATTGCGGAGGCTGCGCTACTTTCAAAAAGTGAAAATCGGCAAGAACTCCGCTAGAAGCTAACCAATTAGGCCCATGGGCACCCCTTAGGCCCATGCCGACCCCACCGGCTGCTAGCTACTAGCTAGTAGCCACTATGCTATCTCTCTCCATTCCGAATGGTGAGAGTGAGGTGATACGATAAAAGAGCTGATATCTTACGACGAGTGGAAATTCGTACAAACATGCGTTTTCTTCATTGCATGCATGTACAAGTTGGAGTCGATATGGAATCCTATTTAGGGCATTCACTATTTTTCCTGCTGCTTTTCTCCGCTAATCAGTTACCTAGCAGTTTTTCGTTCCTATGTGAGCTATGTTATCAGCAATCTGTGGTCGCGGGCTTTGCCTTTAAGCAGCGAATCGAGGACAATATGTATATTTTGACTGTGGATTATCAAGTCTATCACGGGAACTGCCCATAGTAAAAAAGTAGCTTGACTCGTAACATGCTCATTACTTTTAACCAGCAAAATGCAGGGAACTCACCTTTGCATGTGGTTCAGAAACGAATAGGTACAGAAACCCGATGAACGACAAGTACAGTCCCCAAAGGAGACCAGTAAAGAAACCTGAAAAAAGGTAACCTTTATTGAAAGTGACAATTCAGTGTAAGGCAAGAATTTCAAAAAATCTCTTGGAGCACCGCATTGGAATCAGATCCCACAAAGCGTAGAACTCACCAGGAAAAACAAACGTGATGGACAGCAGCATGCCAAGCAGCATCGTACGATATTTGAAGAATGGCATACTGCGAAACCGTTGACCCAGCGTATACACCATAGTCGGATCTTCTAAGCTCTAGGTTTGGCCATAAATGAAAATGACTGCCACAATGATGCTATTCTATTTCCCAACTTACTTGCGGGGATTCCTCAGTCTGGAGCGATTCGTCTTTTTCACTGGGTTGGCTTGAAGAGGGATAAATAACTGCACACTGCGCAGGCGTTTCGGACACGTCTTCAAAAATCAGAACAAAATCTCTGCCAAGACATCCACATAGTAGTGAAAAGAAAGAGATAACATACCAGATGTTTTCGAATGTTCCTTGGTTTTAGCTACCAGTTTTTTGCCTTTCAATTTGGCTTTGTCAATCAGAGCACCGATTTTGCTTGTTGCAGAATGGTCCTATAAAAAAGACAATGCAGTGACAGAGAACACTCGCAATAACACAATAGGCAATTCAGGTTACGCTACTGTTACGAAGTTTTGCAAAGCTAGCCATTTTGGATATATCTGCTACACCTTGTCAACGTTACGTTAACCTAGAGGTTTTACTACACGGAAAGGCAAAGCATAGGGTATCGTTTAATAACCCATTAGCAAGCGCTTTCAACACTGTTTCAGTTCTTCTTGCCTTACGAGGTTGTTAGGTGGAACATTCTTTCAATAAGGCCTAATGTTGGACTAGACCGTCGTCTTCAGAGACCTGAACGTGTTTCATGAGTACACGGCCAACCGCTGCTGCCGACGAGAAGCTAACCAGGGAAGTCCGCCAAGTTAACATGCAACTGAATAGAGACCTGGGTAGATCGATATAAGGTTACTTACAAATATCTTAGGATGGTGCATAAGTTTTTTCCCCGACTTTTTTGTAAATATCTCAATAGCGAACCAGCCTGAAGATTAGAGGTATGCACCATCACTACTCGACGCCAACGCTCAGGCAGCTTGTCGATTCCATCGTCCCAGAAGGACGGGGGCTGGGACCCGAAGAAGGCCACAATGCCGCCAAATGTGACATGGTTTTGCACTGGTAATTGTGCGGCATTATAGCCTGCAAATGCAGGGTGGGCAAGTCATAGCTAGTATGATGAAAGAGTATCCTAAAAAAGTGAAAAATGCCCCCTTCGCCGAACTGCGCCGATGAGGACTGTTCCTACAGATCAGGAGAATTTATTTCACACGTTGTTAATTCGAGCAAGGACGCATACGGCAGATTCACACGATGTCTTCTGTTCTACCAGCGCCCAGATGACGTCCTGCATGTCAGCTCAGCAATAAGCCTGGATGTATGAGAGAAAGTGCCTTGATTACAGTGCAGTACATTACCGGCAGAGTCCCGAACTGATCCGAGCCCTGTATGGAGGTGGGAACGCGAAAGCGTGTTCGTAGCCCCTGTAAAGTGGTGCATGGTTAGTAAATGTTGACTGTTTTCGCTTCTTCTTGCATTGTGTAATGTGACTCCTGGCGTTGCATGTTATGCTCCTTCTTATTTTCCTGGGAATTTGAGGCTGTCTCCGAGTCGTGTGACATAAGCCATCATAACTACCACTCTAGAGGTTGTACCACTGAGTGCTGGTGCCACACAAGCCACCTAGGCCTTTGGTGCCCTTATTTCTTGACTTCGAGCAGCGAATCGAGCACCTCACTGAGCCTTTGTCTTGATTCTTGGGCCACGGTAGTCTACATCAGTCGCAAGCGGAAAGAGTGCGAACAGATACTGGTCATGTCCGACACTATATCACAACTTATCTCCCACCACCAATGTTCCCTACCCTCCTCTGAATTGCTCAAAGGCACTTTCCGCGATAAAATAAGGCTATGACCTCTCAAATGTGTCAGACGATCCGGAAGGAGATTGCGGAGGCTGCGCTACCTTTCAAAAAGTGAAAATCGGCAAGAACTCCGCTAGAAGCTAACCAATTAGGCCCATGGGCGCCCCTTAGGCCCATGCCGACCCTCACCGGCTGCTAGCTACTAGCTAGTAGCCACTATGCTATCTCTCTCCATTCCGAATGGTGAGAGTGAGGTGATAAGATAAAAGAGCTGATATCTTGATAAGACGAGTGGAAATTCACACAAGCAGCTTTTTCTTCATTGCGTGGATAGGTTGGAGTCCATATGGAGTCCTATTCAGGGAGGGCATTCCCCACATTTTTCCTGCTGCTTTTCAGTTACCTAGCGGTTTTTAGCAGTTTTTCGTTCCTATGTGAGCTCCGTTACCAGCAATCTGTGGTCGCGGGCCTTTACCTTTAAGCAGCGAATCGAGGGCAATGTGTACATTTCGAGTGTTGATCATCAAGTTTCGGGAACTGCCCGTAGTAAAAAAGTAGCTTGACTAGCAACATTCTCATCACTTTTGAACCAGCAAAATGCAGGGAACTCACCTTTGCATGTGGTTCAGAAACGAATAGGTACAGAAACCCGATGAACGACAAGTACAGTCCCCAAAGGAGACCAGTAAAGAAACCTGAAAAAAGGTAACCTTTATTGAAAGTGACAATTCAGTGTAAGGCAAGAATTTCAAAAAATCTCTTGGAGCACCGCATTGGAATCAGATCCCACAAAGCGTAGAACTCACCAGGAAAAACAAACGTGATGGACAGCAGCATGCCAAGCAGCATCGTACGATATTTGAAGAATGGCATACTGCGAAACCGTTGACCCAGCGTATACACCATAGTCGGATCTTCTAAGCTCTAGGTTTGGCCATAAATGAAAATGACTGCCACAATGATGCTATTCTATTTCCCAACTTACTTGCGGGGATTCCTCAGTCTGGAGCGATTCGTCTTTTTCACTGGGTTGGCTTGAAGAGGGATAAATAACTGCACACTGCGCAGGCGTTTCGGAC